AACCAACAGAGAAAGGACCAAGGCAGTGACATCTCCAGCTCATCCCTTGTTTGGGTATCAGCCAGCACGTCAACAACTTAAATCAAGAAATAGTTTTCTAAGATCTACAGAGACACTCACTGGAACACCCCAGCAAGCAAGAGTCCAAAAGTGGCAGGCTCAAACCCAGCACCTCAACTAATGGCTGATACCAAATGAGAGACTCCCCCCTGGGCACACGGAAAACTGGGTGACTTGGAAGGCGCTGAACAGACTGCACTCTGGCACCACGAGATGCAGAGCCAATCAAGAAATGGGGCTACAAAGTGGAATCACGACATGTGAGTGTGGAGAAGAGCAAACCAGACCACCTGCTGCAATGCAACTTGAGCCCTGCCACATGCACAATGGAGGACTACCTTCTTGTTTTTTTTTTTTTTTCTTTTTTGTTTTTTTGTTTTTTTTTTTTTCAGCAACACCAGAGGCATCCAAGTGGCCAGATACTGGTCAAAGGACATTTAATCAACTACTTGCAAACTTGTTTTGTTTGTTTGTCTGTTCGTTTGTTAAAAATGCAATACAACTGTTTGGTTTGCTCCTGACACGATAAATAAAGCCATCTGGCTCAGGACAAAATGGCTACTGCAAGGCCATTGATACAATCACGCAAGACTACCTGAAATCCTTTTTTTAATTCAACTATTTAAGTTAGATTTCTAATATATTTACAAACAATACTTTAGTTAAATCCATACAATTAAGTGTCTGTCTGTTTGCTTGTTTGTTTGTTTTGTTAAAAATGTAATACAACTGTCTGGTTGCTCCTGACATGATAAATAAATTTTACCTACGAGAACACCTCTCGGGGAATCTAGGTCATCCAGTGCAAATCTGTTGTCAACACTTGCTGAAAGCTGACAATATAGTTGTGCTGCGAATATAAAGTAAGGAATGGATGGAATTATGACTTGTATCTTTTGCCCTGCATGGGCGAGACGCTGGCGGAGATGGGAGTGGAGTTGAATGGAAAAACATACAGAAACAGTTCAGTAAACATACATATTCTGCTCTGCTGCTCTTTTGCATAACGGTGCCGTCTTCAAAGGATGTTTTTCAAACTGGCACAGGGCTAATTTTAAAGACAAATCGCATTTAAACTCCAGGGTGTGATTCTGTTTCTCACATTGCAGAGTAATACATCCAGGTCTGCCACCAACGGGCTACTCAACAGGAAACTGAAACCAACTAGAATTTTTTCAATACACTTCTAGAAAGCTAGCACTTCTTGTTTGCAACATACATAGCTCATGCTAGACATGCACCTGGCACATATTTTGATACAGTTGGCCCTCCACATTGCAAGCACAACTATGTTGACTGTGGAATCACACTGGATGACATTGAGAAGTGTTATTTGAGGCCCCTTCTACACTACTATATAAAATCCAGATTATCTGATTTGAACTGGATTATATGGCAGTATATACTCATATAATCCAGTTCAAAGCAGATAAAATGGATTATCTACTTTGATCATCTGGAAAATATGGCCATAGGGAAAACAAGTTTTTTTTTACTCGTGCTTTTAACACAGTGGTTCTCAAACTGTGGGTCCCCAGGTGTTTTGACCTGCAACTCTCAGAAATCCCAGCCAGTTTACCAGCAGTAGGATTTCTGGAAGTAGAAAGCCAAAACATCTGGGGGGCCACAGGTTGCGAACCATTGTTTTAATACTTTTATGGAGAGCCTGAGACCCAACCCCAGAAAATATAGAGGTGAATGTATTGTGCAATATACATGTTTACTTATTTCTATTTATTGACTCTACCGATATGTCGCTTTCTCCTGGAGTAGGACCTAAGGTGACTTACAAAAGTAGATTTCTGCATGGACTTTCTTAAGGACCAAATTGGATATGCCATCGTACCCGCCAACATTTCTGTTAACAGACTGGTAACACATCAGATCAAGAAGTCAGTTTGCTGGCACAGGATTCTGCTTTTTCTTCTCCTCTCCTCTCTGCTGAGTTAATTAAGCATAAATTAGTTTTACATTTTGCTTTGCCTTCCACAAGCTGGTCAAGCTTTTTTATATGGCAGTAGGCATTTGGGGAAGGATGAGAGGCACACTGCTGGGGAGGTTGCGAGTAGGATTTGGTGCGGGGGGAGAGAGATTGTGGGATTTATTGCATTTATTATATTTTAACTGTAATCCACACAGTATGATTTAATTGTTTTTTAAATTTGTTTTAAACTGACCAGATTGTGTGGTTGTTAGACACCTTGAGTCCCCATGGGGAGAAAGGTGAGGCATAAATAAAGTAAATAATAGCAACAAAAACAACAACTCGGATTGCAGCAATTCATGCAAATTGACCTCAAAGAGGGAAAGTGGAAGGATGAAAAACTGACATTTTGAAAAAAGCAGAAAGAGTTATGACAAAGGATTAACTGAGACTGTCCCTGTCAAATCGAGACAGTGACAGGGCATGTCACTGATCACAAAAATGCAAGTAACCTTTGGAGAAGTGGCAGTTGCTTATGTGTTGATGTGCCATTTGGCAATTCATTGAATGACCCTATCCCTATTGGGATTTAGGATTCCAACCATTATTTGTGCTAAAATGTGCTATTTTATGTATTGTCGAAGGCTTTCATGGTCGGAATCACTGGGTTGTTGTGGGTTTTCCAGGCTTTATGGCCATGTTCTAGAGGCATTTTCTCCTGACGTTTCACCTGCATCTATGGGAAGCATCCTCAGAGGTAGTGAGGTCTGTTGGAAGTAGGAAAATGAGTTTATATATCTGTGGAAAGACCAGGGTGGGACAAAGGACTTTTGTCTGCTGGAGCTAAGTGCAAGACCAAGAACAAGCCACGAGAGTAAAGATGATGATCCACACAGAGGAAAAGTGTTCTTGCCGTACATCAAGGGAACTACTGACCGCATAGGGAAGCTGATGAGGAAACACAACATACAAACCACCTACAGACCCACCAAGAAAATCCAACAAATGCTACGTTCAGCAAAGGACAAGAGGGATCCTCTCACCTCTGCAGGAGTCTACCGTATTCCATGCAGCTGTGGACAAGTCTACATAGGGACCACCAAACGCAGCGCCCAAACACGAATCAAGGAACATGAAAGGCACTGCAGACTACTTCAACCAGAGAAGTCAGCCATAGCAGAGCACCTGATGAACCAACCTGGACACAGCATATTATTTGAGAACACAGAAATGCTGGACCACTCGAACAACCACCATGTCAGACTACACAGAGAAGCCATTGAAATCCACAAGCATGTGGACAATTTCAACAGAAAGGAAGAAATCATGAAAATGAACAAAATCTGGCTACCAGTATTAAAAAACTCAAAAATTACAACAGCAAAACAACAGAGAGTAAACAATCAGGCACATCAAATCACCTCTCAAAGAAAGATTCCCCCAGGCACTTCCAAGCCATTAAATGCTAATCAAGGTGGTCAGTTGAAACATTCACACCTAGCTCCAGCAGACAAAAGTCCTTTGTCCCTCCCTGGTCATTCCACAGATATATAAACCCATTTTCCTACTTCCAACAGACCTCACTACCTCTGAGGATGCTTACCATAGATGCAGGCGAAACGACAGAAGAAAATGCCTCTAGAACATGGCCATATAGCCCGGAAAACCTACAACAACCCTGTGCTATTTTATGCCACATAAAATGTAAAATCCACAAATAATATTTTAGTATGACTGACAGGGAATTGCTAAGTTTGAAAGAAAAAGAAATGGCAACAGCATAGTGGCCATAATAGTAAAGTAAGTGATGATCCTGCTGTGCCATATCATAAATTCAGGCTCAAAACCTTTAATAAAGGTTTGAAATGTACTTATGGTGTAATAGGAGTCTTTCATCACAGTAGGTTTGTACCTCATTTCTATTTTTTTTTATTTTCCCAGATCCTTACTAACATGTTTTAAGACTGCCATAAAATCCGTAGTGTAAGGTTTATTTTTTCTATGTACTTTCTAAAGAGTAGCTGTTAAGCTGTGTTATGTTAAGTCTGTTCTTGACCTTTGAGTTTAGCCATCTGCTGTAAGTATCTGTTATAAGTAAGTACATTACTGTTTAGCAACTGTAGGTTAGTTTGAGTGATTCTCATAAATATGACAGAAAGAATATTTTTGAAAATGGTAAAAAAGTGGATGCATGAAAACATATATTTGTAACAAAAAGTCAAAAATTTCCCCAGGTTTTAGTGATTACCTAATTTATAAAATGTGTTTTTCTTAGTTGAGAGTTTGCAGTGCTTGAAAGTGTAGAGCAATGCGCTGGAGGAGCAATTATTAGTATCCTTTCCTTCGAGAAATAATGTACATCTTTTTCCTGAGGATGCATTATATTTTAACTTAGGTTGGATGTGGTTTAACTGCTGCTGCTTGTATATCGGAAAAAGTAGTTAATAGCAATTAAAATTAAAATAAAGAGTAGCACAAATTCTGTTTTTAATTCATATGCCTTAACTGCTTAGCAATTGAAAACCCATAAATTATTATCTTTCATTTCTAATGGCAAGAGATAGTCTAATATTATATCAAAAAAAGCAAAATCAGTTTAAGAAAAATGAAAGAGCAATTCAATTCTTGGCACAATAATTCATGTTGGTTTAATTAAAAAGAATTCCCCATCCAAGAAAAGACAATCTCAGATTATAATGAATCTCAGTTTACTGAAATCACCAACATGGACCTTACTGGGTCTAATGGGACAGCATGATATTCCTTGTTAACTCGGGAATGGTGTCCTCTTACAAGTCCTTTTGTTATGTTTAGATTTACCCTTTCTATTCCACCATAACTTGGCAATAGCTTACATCCTAACCTATGATCAGGCAAACAAGAAGAAAGTCATTAATTGATAGTATTTTAATCTGTGTCTATACAAAACATATATTTTAAACTTTTGAAATAAGCCATAAAACCTTTAAATTACAGCCATCTTTGACTCACAGTATTTTATTGTGGGGGGGGGGGGGGGGTAAAAACAGCAGTTGACTTTGTCCACAACCCAACCAAATTCATTCTGAAGCTGATTCATATTTTCTCAAACAACTGGTGCATGAAAAATATCCAGAGACATTGATTCATAGATCTAAATTTGCTTGCATTCATGTCTAGTACACATAGCTTGTCGTTCAATACGCCATGTAACTTCTTCGTAAGTACAGTGACATATAGTGCACTCATCAGTCTTCACTTCTCGACCTGCTGGAATGACTGTGGTCTCTGCAAAGCAGTTGGGGCCTGAAACAGAAGAAAACAATGCTGCTGATAAAGGTTAATGGTCCAGATTCCACAATATGATTGAGTAGGATGTGGGGTTTGGATATTAAGGATTTTATCAATACATAAGGCAAACCAAGCTGAAGATTAATCCTGACAAGACAGAAGTCCTCCTGGTCGATCGTAAACCAGATCGAGGTATAGGGTGGCAACCTGCGTTGGACTGGGTTACACTCCCCCTGAAGTCATAGGTCCGCAGTTTGGGTGTCCTTCTGGACTCATCACTTACGCTTGAAGCTCAGGTGTCGGCGGTGGCCGGGAGGGCCTTTGCACAACTGAGACTCGTGCGCCAACTGCGACCATAGCTTGCGAATGCGGATCTGGCCAGGGTGGTCCATGCCTTAGTCACCTCCAGATTGGACTACTGTAATGCACTCTACGTGGGGCTGCCCTTGAAGACGGCCCAGAAATTTTAGTTGGTTAAACAGGCGGCGGCCAGGCTGTTAACTGATGCTCCTTACAGAGAGAAGTCAACCCTCCTGTTCAAGAAGCTCCATTGGCTGCCGTTCATTTTCCGGGCTCAATTCAAGGTGCAGGTGCTTACCTACAAAGCCCTAAACAGGTTGGGACCCTCCTACCTGCGTGACCGCATTTCTGTATACGAACCCACACAATCCCTTCATTCATCTGGTGAGGCCCTGCTCACGATCCCACCAGCATCGCAAGCGCGATTGGTGGGGATAAGGGACAGGGCCTTCTCGGTGGTGGCCCCACGACTCTGGAACTCCCTCCCCAAGGACATCAGGCATTCCCCAACATTGGCAGTCTTCAGAAGGAGCTTGAAAACATGGATGTTCCAGTGTGCCTTCCCAGATTAAGGAATCCCTAGCAATTGTCCCTAATGCACTTTATGAGAGAGTTAGAATTGTCTGCACACCCTTCTCTTCCCAAAATATCCAGTCTACCTCACCTGGACATGCCCAGCATTTTAGAATTTTAACTATTACATTTGGCCCTGCCACAGGTTTTTAACAGTGTCGTGCTTTTGTTACTGTTTTATTGTTTGCTTATGTATTGTTGCATTGTACTGCTGTCTGTTGTGTTTTTGTTGATGATGTACTTTGGGCTCAGCCTCTTGTAAGCCGCACCGAGTCCCGCGGGAGATGGTAGCGGGGTACAAAAAGGTTTATTATTATATTATGTTATGTTATGTTATGTTATGTTATGTTATGTTATGTTATATTATTATAAACCAGTATCGAAGCATGGTGAGATCTGACCAACAGTGTAATATACTTCCTTGGAATGTGATAGTGTTTCCTTTGAAGGTTTTTAAATCATGGCTGAATGGCCAAATGTCAGGAGAACTTTGATTGTATATTCCTGCATGACAGAGATTGGACTGGATGGTCCTCATGGTCTCTTTCAGCTCTATAATTCCATAACCCCCTAATTGAGATTTAGCCATGATGTCAAGATGAGCCCATTTGCTAATTTGCCGATGAACATGGATGCATTCTAAGATGCCTGCTGTAGGATTTCATGCTTGATTTGTGAACTTCTCCAGGCTCCTCTCACTCTGCAATGGAATAAAATAATGCTGGAACTCTACCCTGGTGTGTTCCTTTATTTAAGCCTGAGGTGCAGTGGAACACTGACTTGGGCAAGGACAACACAATAACATTATTAATGATGTTGATGCAGTGGCAGTTTAGAGGGTTTGTGCAGTATATATATGTGTGTGTGTGTGTGTGTGTGTATACGTCTCTCTCTCTCTCTCTCTCTCTCTCTCTCTATATATATATATATATATATATACACACACATGTAGATCAGTGGTTCTCAACCTTCCTAATGCCGTGACCCCTTAATACAGTTTCTCATGTTGTGGTGACCCCCAACCATACAATAATTTTAATTGATACTTCAGAACTGTAATTTTGCTACTTTTTGAATCATAATGTAAATATCTGTTATGCAGGATGTATTTTCATTTACTGGACCAAATTTGGCACAAACTCGATATGTCCAAATTTGAATACTGGTGTTGTTTTTTTTTTGGGGGGGGGGGGGGAATTGATTTTGTCATTTGGGAGTTGTTTGTTGTTGTTCATTCATTCAGTCGCTTCTGACACTTCGTGACCTCATGGACCAGCCCACGCCAAAGTTGGCCATCACCACCCTCAGCTCCTTGGGCATTGTAGTTGCTAGGATTTATAGTTAACCTACAATCAAAGTGCGCTCCACCAACAATGGAATTGAGCCCAACTTGGCACACTGAATTCCCATGACCAACAAAAAATACTGGAAGGGTTTGATGGGCATTGACATTGAGTTTTAGAGTTGTGGTTCACCTACATCCAGAGAGCACTGTGGACTCAAACAGTGATGGATCTGGACCTAACTTGGCACAAATACATTTAGGAGTTGCAGTTGCTGGGATTTATAGTTCACCTACAATCAAAGAGTATTCTGAACTCCACCAACGGAGGAATTGATCTGGACCAAACTTGGCACAGATACTCAATATGCCCCAATGTGAACACTGGTGGAGTTTGAGGGAAATAGAACTTGATATTTGGGAGTTGTAGTTGCTGGGATTTATAGCTTACCTACAATCAAAGAGCATTCTGAACCCCACTAACGATAGAATTGGGACAGACTTCCCACAAAGAAGCCCCATGACCAACAGAAAATACTGTGTTTTCTGATGGTCTTTGGTGACCCCTCTGACACTCCCTTGTGACCTCCTCAGGGGTCCACACCCCTGGGTTGAGAAAAGCTGATGTAGATGCATATACGTAAATGTATGTGCATAGATAGCACAATATACTTAGGGGTCCCTTTTGACTTTCACTTCTGACACAGTAATTTAGAACTGTAGTTAAATTAGAATGGATTTCACAAGAGGAGCAGGGATGATAAGTGAAAAATCTATGAAGAAGTGTCCAATTGTCTTACTCCAGTTATTTCACCATAATCTGCCGAAGCAGGGTGACAATTTTAGAGACAATTACCTATTGGATTGTACCCACAGAACAGCAAGCTTGCAAACAGCTATGGTTTAGTCAGTAAATGCCTTTTAGATACTCTATAAGTCATAAGAAAAATGTGGGGGAGAAGCTTAAGGATTATGAAAGGGGAAACCAAGGAAAGAATGAGTGGATCAAAGAGAGGCCAAATTTCTTGACCATGGGATAACACTCAGCTTTTCTCCTAAATTGACTGAAATCAGCTTTCTTAAAGTCTATAATATGTATCTGACTAAGCTTGACTTTCCCTTTCTGCTGTATAACAAACTCTACGAAGATGGTCACTTCTGCCTAAGGAAACTGCCACCCCATTTACCAGGTCATCCCTGTTGGTTAGGATCTCAGAATTGCTGATCCCCTTGTTGCCTCTTGGCAGACACTGTCTTCCAACAAATATCAGGATAGTTAAAACCTCCCATTACTACTACATTTCTCTTTTCTGAATGTTTGGTCATCCATTGTAGGAAGGCATCATGCACACCCTCAGTTTGGCTTGGACTCCCACAGTTACATCCCTATCATTTCTTTCTCCTTTAAATTTTAACAAAAAGGCTCAACCTAGTTTTCATGATTTAAGCTGTGAATCTCCTCACTGACGTTTTCCATAGCTACTACTATACAAAAATTCAACCCTGGCGATCAATGGGGTGACAGATGTCGCAGCCAGATCGCCCTCACATCTGAAAAAAATGGTCTGAATACACAAAATATATTCCAGATAACAAAAGAAGAACAAGATTTGTTTGAAAGTAAGTCAAATGGAGGAAAGTTCTACTGCAATCATAAAAATGAAAAATTGAAAAAACACCAGGCCCTGATGGAATGTCATTCAGTTCCATCTTAGAAAGAGAAAATATACCAGAAACATAAAAAACAGCAACAATAACACTGAAACCAAAAGATGGACAAGATGAATCCAGGTTTTTGAACTGATTTTTGACTCAAATTTCTAGACTTATATGAGTATATAGAGTATACCAATCAAAGAATTCAAATGCAATTCAGGTAGAAACTGTTATATAGAGAGATTTTGATACTGCAACTTTCATTAACACCTATGAATTTTTTAAATGTTGAAACATATACTGCTGAAGCTTGTGACTTTTACCTACCATTTTTACAGATGGGACAACACTGATCTGGTTCATATACAGGGTCCACACAATCAGTTTGAGGACAAGCAGACACTGTGCACACAACTTCACCGTTGGCTTCACAGCGACATTTTTCACAAGATGAAACCTGAAAATAAGGCACACCATGTTTTAGTCCAGAGGTTAGCAAAATTCAGCCCTCCAATTTTGTTTTTCATTAGAAACCCAAAAGCCATCAATCAGATACTAGCGAAAAAAAGTGTAATTTGTGTGTTGTGTGTTTACCAGGTGCAAAATGGAGTAATTTAGAACACTCACTTTGTGATTATTATTTTGTGGTCATATGAAAGTATGGCCAGAGACTGAAACATTGTTTTAAAAGAAATAATGATTTGTGGGGATGAATAAGGTATAATTCTGTAATCCCAAAAGCCTGAAGAATGCCTTGGAATGAGCTACCACAAGTCAATCTATCCTATCGTTTAGAAAACAAGTAAAAACCTGGCTTTGGAATATGGCATTTGATGACTGAGGCAATGACTCTGACCACACAGAAGGATGGCAACGAATCGTGATTTCACCTGACGACCTGGCCTGTGTAATGTTTATGATTGTATTTTAATGTACTTGTTGTATTGTATTATGAGGATGTTTTGTATTTTATTATTGTATCTGAATTTCATGCTGTAGTCCCTCTTAGGAGGTGGAGAAGACCGGTATATAAAAACTCTAAATAAATAAATAAATAAATCTATGTATAGGAATACTTGAATGAGCTGTGACTGAAGAAAAGCTACTATGGGAGCCATATACTTTGTGAACACCCTCACAATGGTGACTACCCTGAGGAGAAGAGTCTTGAACTGTGAAAGCTCTCCCCTATGGGTAAGTAGAAAAATTGAGCCCCCAGAGATCCTCTTTGTGAAGAAGGGTGGACAGGCTGATGAAAAGGTCTAATAAGAGATTGGGACTGATTGTAGGGTTAGTATTGTTTCTTCTAGTGCAATGTTTTGGAGTCAAGATTGTTGAGATTAAGGGTCATGCCCAGTTTTTGCAGTCATCCAAGCCTTATGAAGGTGGTCCAGGGAATCATCTGTTTTGGTATGAAAAAGGCCCTCACCTTCAAAAAGAGAGTCATTGATCCTCAACTGTGTATCCTGAGACAATAGCTATTCCTGACATCTAAGAGAAACAGCAGCAAGCAGTTTCTCTTAGATGAGCAGTCAGCCATGTGGCAAGTTGTGTTAAGTCGACTAGCAACTAACTGGTATGGTTTCTGCTTGAAAAAATTTGGCAAGATTCTGATCTTGAGGAAAATATTGTGATAATTGCTACAATTTCTCCCAGAGTAGCTGTTGGTAGGCAGTCATGTATGCCTGATAGTTATTGAGCCTCATGGCCAATAACATAGAGAAATACAATTTCAGTCTTATCAAATCAAGCTCCCTTCCTTCTTTGTCCAGTAGAGTGGAATGTGATGTTTCATGACCTTTAGACTGAAAAACCTTAACAATAATAGAATCAGGAGTGGGTTGGTGAAAAAGACACCAAACACTTTCTTTTTGAACTCTGTAGCAGTTCTCTATACAGCACAACGTTAGCAGTATAGATGAGAGTTTGGAGCTTTCACCCGTTGCACTTCTTAATTTACCAACACCAAAGGAATACTTTTGAGAATGGTCAATATCAAAGCATTACAATTTTCAATGGCAAAAATATCATAGATGGAAAAGGGAGCAGTTTTTCTTCTTCAAATTGTCCCCTTTCAATTTCTTTCTCTTTGTAAAGGGAACATCCAAAAATCCACGTAAAATCATGCTTCTTCTGAACCAAAATCTCTAAATACTTCCCCAGATTGGATGTAACTACAAGTTGTTTTGAAGTAGATGGTAGTGAAGCTAGAGGTAGTGATGTTGCATCACAGAAATGAGTTCCTGGCACAATAGTTGGAACAGTAAATTTGAAGCTATTGGGTAGTGTCATCAACTCTGAGGAAGCTTTTGAGGTCATTTTTTTCCTGAAAGTCTTTTTCTTCAATAGTGGAAGGGCTGTTTTAAAAGCTGGATCCTCACAAGCAGCAGATCTCATACTGAAGTGCCTGTTCTTAAGACCTTGTTTTCAAAAACCTTAGCAAAATGGATCTTACATTCTTTCCTAGACAAGAAGGGTTTATTGCATGGCAGGTGGCATGGATGATTCTTGTGGTCTCTTCCAACTATGATTCTATGAGAAGGGTTGCACATCACAGCAGCAGTTGGTTAGGGCTAATGTTCTTACGAATGGCTGCTGTGAAGAGTAAAAGTCCAGAGCATACTGGAAAGAGGGATCAGGATGATCAGAGAGAGACACCAAGACTGATAAAGAATTTAGTGAGCTGGGTATGCATAGCTTAGAGCAGGGGGGCCGGATGCGGCCCTCGCTCAGGGTCAACCTAATTCTGAAACTACTTGAAAGTACACAACAACAACAACAGCAGCAGCAGCAACAACAACAGCAATCCTATCTCATCAGCCAAAAGCAGGCCCACACTTCCCATTGAAATACTAATAAATTTATATTTGTTAAAAAATTTCTTTATATTAATTATAGACCATGGCCATACAACAACCCAGTGACTCCGGCCATGAAAGCCTTCAACAATAAATTATAGTATTGTTTTTAAGTGGTTTTGCACTACAAGTAAGTGTGCATAGAAATTCAATCATGTTTTTTGTCTTCAAATTATAATCCGGCCCTCCAACAGTTTGAGGGACTGTGACATGGCCTTCTGTTCAAAAAGTCTGGGGATCCCTGGCTTAGAGAAAGGAAATCTAAAATATAATTACATCTATGGGCCATTCAACACTGACAGCAAATGCAGCATCTGGGATGCTGAATCGGACCTGGGGCTCCCTCAACTGCCTCAGAGACAAGAGGAAGTCCTTACTACCCAGCGATGCCGATCCCTGTTTGGTGCCATTGTGTAATATGGGGCCCATCCTCCATCCCATCCACCTTGCCTCTCAAGTTGTAGCAAATCACAGCCACAACATGCTACCTACCAGTTTCTTGGCACACTGGCTAATATCAAGGGTGGGGGCGGACAGAGGAAGCAACATAGGAATGCCATCAAATAAACATGGGATGGTAGTCAAGACCATTGTGGTTGGTTCCAATTAGGAACTGGCATAACAGCCTTGACTGCCCCTAAGTCAGGGAGCCGCCCGAATCCTATGACATAAGTATGGCTTTTCCCCAAGTTAAGTTAACCTGTGGCAAGGATACATCAAGGGTTGTACTTCACAGCAGTAGCTGATGCAGTCTTGCCCCTTTTAACCCAGATCAGACCTGTGCTGCATTTAGCCATCATGGGGTTCATCCAATTACACACCAACCTAAGTGGTCAGTGCAAATTAGCCCTATGCTTAAATATCTGAAAGAATGCCTTATAGAAAATGAAGCAAGCTTGTTTTCTGCTGCTCCAGAGATAACAACACAAACAAATGGATAACATTACAAGAGATTCCACCAAAATATTAGGAATAACATATTGACTGTAAAAGCTGTAAGAGCTGTTGGACAGTGGAATAGAATGCCTCGGAAGAATGGCATTTATAGAGAAAAGGTTATTTCAATCTATAAAATACCTGTGACTAAACTGAAGATTCATTTTCTAGCAAGACAATAACCCAAAACATTTTTTTAAACCAAGAACCTGAGTGTATTGTAGTGGCCTGTAAAGTCAACAGCAAAATCAAAATAGTTAAGACGTGGCTGTTTGCTATTTGTTCCCTGAGCCAATTTGACAGAGCGGGAGGATTTTTACAAGCAGAAAGATGAGAAATTGCAGGACCTAGATTTACAAAGCTTATGGAGACTTATCCAAAGGATTCACAGCTGTAATTGCTGCCAATTATGTTTCTATCAAATATTGAGTATATAGTTGTATTTATGGTGGTGAATACTAATGCAACTGAAAACAGCAAGTTGTTTTTTAAGTTTTGACTTTTGTGCCGCAGTAATATGATTTTTTTTAATGGAATCGTAAAATCTTACAGCTCGAAGAGGCATCAAGGCCATTTTTGGCGCCTTCACTGCTGAGTATCCTTTGTGTCAATCAATCAATTCCTTTCGTGTTGATAAATTTGGAAATTTAAGGATGAATACTGCAGGGCAACTTAAGTATCAAAAATTACTTGCATATAAAGTGACCCCTGTTGAACAGATAATTTGTTAACAATACCAGATTTCCCATCTACTAAAAACTGTCACAAATGCAGCAAATTAGGAAGTGATTAAAATTAACAACCAGTGTCAAGAATACTGCATATTTCTATCCAATCTTGTTGAAAACTGTGAGTGTATGATAGCGTTGGGCAATCCCATACAGCGGTGTTTCTCAACCTGGGGGTCGGGACCCCTGGAGGGGTCGCGAGGGGGTGTCAGAGGGGTCACTAAAGACCATCAGAAAACACAGTATTTTCTGTTGGTCATGGGGGTTCTGTGTGGGAAGTTTGGCCCAATTCAATCCTTGGTAGGGTTCGAATGCTCTTTGATTGTAGGTGAACTATAAATCCCAGCAACTACAACTCCCAAATGTCAAGGTCTATTTCCCCCAAACTCTACTAGTGTTAACATTTAGGCATACTGAGAATTCGTGCCAAGTTTGGTCCAGATCCATCATTGTTTGAGTCTATAGTTCTGTCTGGATGCAGGTAAACTACAACTCCCAAAACTCAAGGTCAGTGCCCACCAAACCCTTCCAGTATTTTCTGTTGGTCATGGGAATTCTGTGTGCCAAGATTGGTCCAATTCCATCGTTGATGGAGTTCAGAATGCTCTTTGATTGTAGGTGAACTATATATCCCAGCAACTACAACTCCCACAGGACCAAATCAATACCCTCCTCCAATCTGTTACTATTAATAACAGCAGCAAAATGAGTTATGAAGTAGCAACAAAACTAACTTTATGGTTGGGGGTCACCATAACATGAGGAAGCGTATTAAGGGGTCGTGGCATTAGGAAGGTTGAGAACCACTGCCATACAGGACTAAGTAACTCTGATGGACTAAATTTATATCCTGCTGACATGTGCTATATCCCTCACTTGACCTGACGTCAAATTTGACAAGACACCAAATTTGTTTAGCAATTTAAAAAGTGTTA